AATGGGTCCAAATATGTTCATATAGAAGCCAAAAAGGCTGAACTGAGCATACAAATGTGCAATTCCTGCATCTGAGGCTTAGAAAGAAAAACGGTTCGCTCTTCTTCTCCTGGGTTTAATCACTCTTAGGAAAGCCTGAGCAAGAGCCTTTGCACTCTGAGGATGAATTATTTTGGATGATTTTGGGGTGTTTTCCTTTTCCTTAGAAATATATGCTTCCTTATGTACGTTCCCTTTTGCACAGAAATACACGTTTCTTTGGTGTTCCCCTTTGCATATAAATACATGTCTGTCTTTTGTACAAAAGGCAAAGGAAAACACCAAACAAGTAAGTTTTGCCTCAAAATAGGTGACTGGAAAAGCACGAACTCTGCATCATTCTTGTAAATTGCAAATCTATATCAATGCCATGGCATAAGTCTTTCCTTGCACCATAGAATCATACAATCATGGAATTATGGCTTTGGAAGGGACCCTCAAAGGCCATCCAGTCCAACCCCCTTCCGCCATAAAGGAGAGTATAAACTGGAATTCCCAAGAATATGGAAAAAAATAATAACATTTGATTTTTATTAAATTCTATCCCACATTTCCTCTCTTAAAAGAGACTAATGCACCTAACCGTATTTTTTTTTACAAAAAATTACAATGTGCAATTAAAAACTGAAAACATAATAAATGTTTCATTGTTGTACGTTTTTTCGGGCTATATGGACATGTTCTAGAGGCATTCTCTCCTGACGTTTCGCCTGCATCTATGGCAAGCATCCTCAGAGGTAGTGAGGTCTGTTGGAACTAGGAAAATGGGTTTATATATCTGTGGAATGACCAGGGTGGGACAAAGGACTCTTGTCTGCTGGAGCTAGGTGTGAATGTTTCAACTGACCACCTTGATTAGCATTTGATTAGATGTCCCTGATTGGATTTCAATGGCCACCATGTCAGACTACACAGAGAAGCCATTGAAATCCACAAGCATGTGGACAATTTCGACAGAAAGGAGGAAACCATGAAAATGAACAAAATCTGGCTACCAGTATTAAAAAAAACTCTAAAATTACAACGGCGAAACAACAGAGGGAAAACTATCAGGGACATCTAATCACCCCTCAACAAAAGATTGCCCCAGGCACTGCCAGGCCATCAAATGCTAATCAAGGTGGTCAGTTGAAACATTCACACCTAGCTCCAACAGACAAGAGTCCTTTGTCCCACCCTGGTCATTCCACAGATACATAAACCCATTTTCCTAGTTCCAACAGACCTCACTACCTCTGAGGATGCTTGCCATAGATGAAGGCAAAACGTCAGGAGAGAATGCCTCTAGAACATGGCCATATAGCCCGAAAAAACCTACAGCAACCCAGTGATTCCAGCCATGAAAGCCTTCGACAATACATAATAAATGTTAACAAAGAAGTAAATGTAAGAGTATCAAAATAAATAAAAATGAAAAAACATTGAAAAATCTATTAAAACATTTAACTGTCACTGAACAATGATGGCATACTGCTGTTTTCATCATGCAAGCAAAGTGTGTCTTTTGTCATCTTTATTATTATTATTATTATTATTATTATTATTATTATTATTATTATTTACTTCACTTCCACATGGCCTTTCTCAACTCGGGGGGGACTCAAGGAAGCTTACAAATCTGGCAAAAATCCAATGCTTCATAGATAAATAATATCACGCATCTCACCAAAATATAAAACAGTCTAAACATATAAGCAAGTAAAATATATCTCAATCGATCAACAGATTAAAAACTAAAATGCCGAGTCCTGATCTCATACCCATAATCGTTTTCCAAAATCCATAGTCCATTATTCAAGAGGTTAAAGTCTCATTCCGCAGTTTCCTATTCACCAACCGCCTGCGTAAAAAGCCAGGACTTAATTTTTTCCCCAAAGGCCTGCCTGATGTCACTGGGGAGGGGGCTCCACAGCTGAGGGAGGGGCCACTGCTAAGAAGGAAGGAAGGCCTCTCGTCCCCACCAACTGTGCTTGCAAAGAGGTTGAGATGGAGAGTAGGGCTCCCCAGCCGATCTCAAAGCTCTTGTAGGATCATAGAGGGAGATGTGTTCGGACACAATTCGGATTTAATGGCAGTCTTTCCATATCATGTTAATACAAAGTTTACGGTATGTATGTGTGCTAACACGGCAGTGTCAGGAGATTTGAATTTCTTTTTCTTGCACTGCTAGTTTGTATGAATTTATTTAGCCACGCATTTTGCAATCAGGTAGCTTCCCCAGGTAACAGTCATAGGGCCAGCAACCTGGCAATCATCGTTAGAGTCTTTAGACCCACCCTTTTCCCCCAGGGTTTTGGAGGCAAAGGAGGACTTTTGTTCAGTCTCACTGTTTGAAGCCTAACAGCAAGACGTGTGGGTTTCTCTATCCCACCTGCACAAAGGCTTCATTTCTCACAGTTCTGCTGGGGGAGTAAAGGAATTTCCACAGCTTTTGATGGGGGAATACAGCCAGCCTTCGCTGGGGCAACAGGACAGTTCCTACAGCCTTCATGGAGTAATCTAAAGGACATCTTGGCAGATTTACAGTAATCTTATTATTATAATTATAACTTTATTTGTACCCCGCTAGCATCTCCCGAAGGACTCGATGTGGCTTACATAGGCCAAGGCCTCAAAACACAATACAACAATACAATACCTAAAGCAAATTAAAAACAGTTAAGCAGAATAAACAACAGACAATAAACAATACATCAAGACACTATAAAACTGGGCCGGGCCAGAGTAAAGGGTACAAGATTAAAAGTGCTGATGTGGTAGGAGGTATGTAGGATTATAAGTAAGTGCAGAGTGTGGTGTGCAGTAATCTTAGTTCTACTAAAGTGCTTCTAGGACATTGGTATTGGAGGTTCCTAATCTGAGAAGGCACATCGGAACAGCCAGGTCTTCACGTTCTTTCTGAAGACTGCCAGTGTAGGGGCCTGTCTAAGATCTTTTGGGAGGGTGTTCCAGAGTCGGGGGGCCACCACAGAAAAGGCCCTGTCTCGAGTCCCCACCAAGCGCGCTTGCGACGCAGGCGGGATCATGAGCAGAGCCTCTCCAGATGACCGAAGTGAATGCGTGGGTTCATAGATGGAGATGCGGTCATGCAGGTAGGCTGGTCCCAAACCGTTCAGGGCTTTGTAGGTAAGCACCTGCACCTTAAATTGGGCTCAGAAAATAAACGGCAGCCAGTGGAGCTCCTTGAACAGGAGGGTTGACCTCTCTCTGTAATGAGCCCCGGTTAACATCCTGGCTGCTGCCCGTTGGACCAATTGGAATTTCCGAGCTGTTTTCAAGGGCAGCCCTACGTAGAGTGCATTGCAGTAATCCAATCCAATGCAGTAATCTAGAAATTTTGTCTGGTAAGGGACCACTCGGGCTATCCATAAAGTAGCTTGGAGCAGGGGCTTCACGCCAGCAAGGTAAATAAAGATTGCCCAAGGAGGGGTCAGAAGATTTCCCTAAGGAAGAAAGGAACGGTTTACCACCAGTTGCCTGCCCTTTGTTGGCAGATTGAGAAAACTACCGGTTTTCCAAGGTTATAAAGCGTTTAATTCATTTGTTTGAAGATTTAAGCCCAAATAAAGAACTTTGTTGAATTTATTTTGAGCCTCAATAGAACTTTGTGTTGGGAAATCTAAGAGGCCCTTCAGCTGAGGCACCCCGGCGTCCCGTTGGGCATACAAAAGGCATGTCCTGTAAACAGACATTATTTCAGGCCCAGCGTGCGACAGCACAGTATGGTATAGGGTAGAGTATGAGTTAGGGCTATTTGTGAGAGCCACTCTCAAGCTACCGGAAAATTGGTTGAATGGAGAGTCTATTATATTGAGAGCACTGCAGTTTGTGCATTTTGCACACAACCAACAGCTTCCGGCATCAGTCCTATTGCTGCACAAAATGGTTTTGCAATGCACCAAATACCTTCTGCAAATGATGCAGGACATCAGTAGGAAAAGCTACATGAGTTGAACATCTGTCTGCTGAAAGGAAACCCAGGCCAGATGTTGGGGACGCAACTGTATGCTTGTCTACACATGTAATCTGACATTCTGCCAATGGGAGAATACAAATGAGGAATACAAATGAGAATCCCAACTGGTGGAAAGCAGCAAATAGAAAAGCCTCCGAATTGGGGAATAAGCAAGGAGACAAGAGCTGCATATTGCAGCAGCAACAACAACAACAACAACACATAATAGAATAATAAACACAGCAGAAGAAGAATAGAATATATAATAATAGAATTAAGTAACAATAAAATTATAATGAAATTTTACCCCTTTATCTCACCCAGAGTTTTAAAATTATTTTATGTACATACGGCCCGCTCTTTGTCCTTATGTTTGGTTCTTATGTTCTATGTATATTGTATATTTTTGTATTGTAGTTTGTTGTTTGGGCTTGGCCCCATGTAAGCCGCTCCAAGTCCCCGTTGGGGGAGATGGTGGCGGAGTATAAATAAAATTTATTATTATTATTATTATTATTATTATTATTACTATTATTATTATTATTATTACATCATATAATAAAAATATAATACTACAACATATAAAGTGAGGAATAAGCAAGGATAAATAACAACAACAACAAGCCTTCAATTTCATGCACAACCATTTCCATCATCCTTCAACTTTCCATATATTTCACAATATTTCCCAACATGCTGGAGTCTCCCATGTCATTGCACAACAGTTCCCATCATCCTTAAACTTTTCACATAATGCTTCTCATCATTCCCATGTCATTGCACAATGGTTCTCGTCATTCCTGAGCATTGGGGCAAATGGCTTTTGGATCTATCGACACCTAAGTTTGCTGTTGTCTCTCCAATGGATCACCTAAAAAAGTCATAAAATGTAAGAGTTGGAGGAGACCTCAAGGGCCATCCAGGCAGACTCCCTTTTGCCTCTGGCACAATCCAAGCTCCCCCGCCCCAACAGATGGCCAACCAGACAGTGTTCCAAGATACTCACATGATCTCATAGGCCCGGGTGGTGTTTTTGGGCCACTCTACCAGGCAGACGACGCGGCCAGGCAGCTCGGCAGTGATGGCGTAGTAGCCCTGCGGGAAGGAGAGCAGCAGCGCCAGGACCCAGATTACACAGATGACCACCTTGGTGGCCGTGGCTGAGAGGCGGGGCTTCAGCGGGTGGATGATGGCCATGTACCTGGAAGGACAAGGCAGAGAAAAAAGGCAGGGGGTTAAAATGGGGCTAATGGGGGAAGAGGGGAAATCTGTGGCCATTCATGGAGATGGAGGTGATGGAGATGGAGAGAGAGATAGAGATATAAAGAGATAGCGATAAGATGGGGAGATGAGATGGAGATGAGGATGGATGGAGATAGACTGAGATGATGGACATGTTGATAATAATAACAATAATAAGACTTTATTTATATCCTGCACCTATCTCCCTGAGGGCACTTGATGGAGATGTTGATGGAGATAATGGGGATGATGGAGATGGAGATAGAAACAGATAGAGATAGATGGAGATTGGAATAAATGGAGATGGTGATGGAGATAAATACAAAGACAGAGATAATGGAGACGTAGAGAAAGAGAGAGAGAAGTAGATGGAGATAGATGGAGATGGAGAGAGATAGAAATAGAGATAGATAGAGATGGTGATGGGGAGTGAGAGAGAGATGAGGATAGGTGGAGAAAGATGGAGATGATGGAGATGGTGATAGCAAGATCACAGAATCATAGAATCAAAGAGTTGGAAGAGACCTCATGGGCCATCCAGTCCAACCCCCTGCCAAGAAGCAGGAATATTGCATTCAAATCACCCCTGACAGATGGCCATCCAGCCTCTGTTTAAAAGCTTCCAAAGAAGGAGCCTCCACCACACTCCGGGGCAGAGAGTTCCACTGCTGAACAGCTCTCAGAGTCAGGAAGTTCTTCCTCGTGTTCAGATGGATAGAGAGACAGAGATAGGTTTCTGAACTGTACTTCCCATGAAGTCTAAAACTTGCCAATAATGATAACAGATGGAGATGGAGAGAAAGAAATGACAGATGCAGATGGAGATGATAATGGAAGTGGAGATGAAAATGGAGATGATGGAGATGATGATGGAGACTGAGATGGAGAGGGAGAAACAAAGATATAGAGATAGATGGACATGGATGGAGATAGATGGAAATAATGATGGAGATGGAGAGAGAGAAACAGATATATTATTCAATGTGGTTTGAGGCATTGAATAGTTGTCTATATGTAACCTGCCTTGATTCCCCTTTGGGGTAAATAAGTAGATGGAGATAGATGGGGATGATGGAGGTGGGGAAAGAAACAGGTAGAGATAGATGGTGATAGATGGAGTTAGAGACAGAGATAGATAGAAGATAGAGGGAGATAGATGGAGATGATGGAGAGGAGGAGGATGGAGGAGTTGGAGATAGCATTAGAGATATAGAGAGAGGTTTCTGGGCTGTACTTCCCATTAACTCTAAGATGTGCCAAGGATGATAGGAGATGGAGATGGAGAGATGGAGATGATGGAGATTGAGATGGAGAGATATATAGATAGAAATAGAGATATAGAGATAGATGGAGATGATTAAGATGGTAATAAAGATAGATAGAAGTATATAGACTGTACTTCTCAAAGTCTAAGTATTGACAAGGATGACCGGAGTTGCAGTCCGACAGTTGGGGAAACACAGGAAGCCAAAATGCCCTTGTAAAGGTATGGCTTCTTTATGTCTCCTTCACCTTACTGGGATGGCATCAATGGCAACTCCCATCAGCCCCAATCAGGAATGGATAATGACAGTTGCAGTCTGATAGAGCCTCAAGCTTTAGGGTCTGAAGATATACTTTAATCTTTATTCTGTGTATTTTGGTATATGTATTGCATTTTAATATGTGTATTTTATAATGTGTTTTTAGCAATGCTGTGACTCTCCCACAAGAAGAGGCGGGTAAGACAAGCATTATTATTATTATTATTATTATTATTATTATTATTATTATTATTATTACCATCATTATCATCCATGGTTTCCACTAGAGAGCACAAAAATATCAAAATCTAAGTTCTAAGGGTTCCAGACAGAAAAATGGAAGTCTAATTTTATTAACAGCTCAATACTATGGGATGTTGGGATTTGTAGTTTGGTGAGGCACCGGCTCTCTTTGGCACAGAAGACCATGGGAAACTGCAACTCCCATGATTCCACAGCAAAGCTCCATGGCTATTAAAGTGGTGCCGAACTGCATCCATTCTAAAGTGTGGATGCAAACCAAGCCAGTCGTTCAGAGGGGTTTGTTTTGCTTTTGCAAGGTGATGCATTGCGTTATGCATTATGTGCAAAGTCAGCCCCAGGCACTGGGAAGGAATGGAGAGAAACACACACACACGCATGTGCATAAACCAGCATCCCGCCTGGTGCGCTGATTCCAGCCCTTATCAGCCACCCGCAGCTAATCCATCTTGTTAATTATCCATTGTGTTCTACGCTTCCAACAGCTGGGCCCCTGAAATGTTCCTTGACAATCCCATAAATCTCCCAGCATCATTTCTATGCGCAAACAGGCAAAGGGTTTGTGTTCTGTGTCGTTCAAAATGAAACTCTCCGAAAAAGAACATCCCTCTTCAGAGGCATTTGCGCTGTGGAATAGAGGCAGTTTGATGCCACTTGAATAGCTACACATCCATGCGATCTGATCCCGGGAGCTGTACTTTGGTGCTCTTTGGCAGAGAAGGCCTAAAGCCTTGTAAAACTACAATTTCCAGGATTCCTTAGCATTGGTTCGTGGTAGTTCAAGTAGCACCAAACCACATTCCTTCCACAGTGCAGATGCTCCTTTGAACATCACTTGTGCTTCCATGGCTCAGTACTGTGTAATCCTAGGAGCTATAGTTTTGAGCCTTCTCTGCCAGAGAGAAGGCTCAAAACTACAATTCCCAGGGGCGTGGCCAAAGAGAATGGCCAGCTGACAGCATTCCCCCAAAGCTCCGGAGTGTGATACAAATATTGTGGATTAATAAAACAAACAAAAGATAATTCAGCTCCATTTAAATAGAGGTTTTGCAACTAAAGTTCCAAAAAATCAAAGGGAAAAAGGAGAAGGCAAAACAGTGGCTGGTGATTGAAGCAAACCAGATATTCAGAGGGAGATACTCCCGAGCAAAATACAAGCAAAACACCATTAAGAATCATTATGGAACACAGAGGAGATTAAGAACATCAAAAAAGCCCACTATATAGTTCAGATATGTGGATGACACTTTCACCATTTGGAGCCATGGAGAAGAAAAACTAAACAGGTTCCTGGACCATCTGAACAGCATCCACCCAAACATCCAATTCACCATGGAAAAAGAAAATGAAGGAAGACTGCCTTTTCTAGATGTCCTAGTCATCCGTAAACTAGATCAACAATTGGGTCACATCGTTTACAGAAAACCCCCACACACACAGATAGATATCTACATAAAAACTCCAACCATCACCCAAGTCAAAAAAGAAGCGCCATTAAAGCCTTGGCAGACCGTGCAAAAAGAATCTGCGAACCCCACCTCCTCCAAGATGAACTGAACCACCTCAACTAGGCTCTACGGGCCAATGGATACTCCACCTCAGACATCAGAAGAGCTGCAAGACCGAGAACAAGCCACGAGAGTCAAGACAAAGATCCACCCAAAGGAAAAGTGTTCTTGCCATCCATCAAGGGAACCACTGACCGTATGGGGAAGCTGATGAGGAAACACAACATATAAACTATCTACAGACCCACCAAGAAAATCCAACAACTGCTACGTTCAGCAAAGGACAAGAGGGATCCTCTCACCTCTGCAGGAGTCTACCGTATACCATGCACTGTGGACAAGTCTACATAGGGACCACCAAACGCAGCGCCCAGACACGCATCAAGGAACATGAAAGGCACTGCAGACTACTTCAACCAGAGAAATCAGCCATAGCAGAGCACCTGATGAACCAACCTGGACACAGCATATTATTTGAGAACACAGAAATGCTGGACCACTCTAACAACCACCATGTCAGACTACACAGAGAAGCCATTGAAATCCACAAGCATGTGGACAATTTCAACAGAAAGGAGGAAACCATGAAAATGAACAAAATCTGGATACCAGTATTAAAAATCTCTAAAATTACAACAAAACAACAGAGAGGAAACAATCAGGGACATCTAATCACCTCTCAACAAAAGATTGCCCCAGGCACTGCCAGGCCATCAAATGCTAATCAAGGTGGTCAGTTGAAACATCCACCCCTAGCTCCAACAGACAAGAGTTCTTTGCCCCACCCTGGTCATTCCACAGATATATAAACCCATTTTCCTAATTCCAACAGACCTCACTACCTCTGAGGATGCTTACCATAGATGCAGGCGAAACATCAGGAAAGAATGCCTCTAGAGCATGGCCATATAGCCCGAAAAAACCTACAACAACCCAGTGATTCTGGCCATGGAAGCCTTTGACAATACATTGAACATCAAAGCAAGTGAGTAAACTTTTTGAAGCCGAAACAGGCAGCACATAAGGTTCCCTTTCTCTCCAATTAACTAATAAAGAGGCTGACAGCCATATGAAAAAAAGAATTGCAGAAAAAAGTGGGTTAGACCATGCGATCACTGATTGCAAAGAATACAACAAGAACAGGAAAAGGACTCTGAGACTGTAGATCAAGGACAATTAAAAATGTCAAAGAGTCCATCAAAAACCCACAATCCCCCTTTGGGCAGTGCCAAGAATAACAATGGCAATTGTCTGAACCCTAAGCAGGGAGAAGCAAAGCCACCTGAAAAGGGAAGACAATGGGAAGAGGACTGGATGGGGAGGTTAACCCAAATAATGAGAATGGAGAATGAGAAACAGATGGATAAAATAGAAATCTTAATGGAAAAGAAATTTGCAGACTTGACACAGTATCTGGAAGTGAGATTTGACCAAAAAATCCAAGACGCTGTATCCAAATATGAGAGACTATTAACTCAAGAGAAAGAATAGAATAAAGGAATGTTTGAAGCCATAAATATAGGCTTGCAAGAAACAATAATTGCAAACTCTAAATAAAGAGCACAAGGACTATGTTAAGCAACAAGATAAGTTACAAAAACAAAAAAAAATGAAATTTTCTGAAATAGAGAAGCAACTAATTTACATGAAAGATGTTCAGAGGAGGG